CTCGCGCTCGCCCGTGCCCGTGCCTGTGTGCGTGCTCCCGCCGTTGTGCGCTCGCGTCCGCCCACACTTGTGCTCCCTGTGTCCCGCTCGCACCAGCACGCACATCGGCCAGGCAGCGGCGACTAGCTAGCTCAGCAGCACCAGCACGCACGCACGGCCAGCGATGGCTCGCTAGATAGCAGGGCCGGGCCGGCAAAATCCGAAGCCCTGTGAGAAACAAAAAAGGGCCCTATATATCTCACTAAAAACAATAAACTAACGATTAATTATAATGTATATATCTTGCATTTGTAAGAACCAGACTGATGTTTCTTCATGATGACTCAAAATTGTATTATTGAAATACAAGATAAAAAAGATGAATAAAATAAAATTGAAGTTATATAGTACCATATATCAATTAAAAATCACGTGTCAATGTTTTGCAATTAGACGAACCGTCTAATTTAGCTAGTTTTGGGTCATGTCCGGTTGAACTACTACACTACGATCTTTAACTAAGGAGGTAAAAACCGATCTCTAACAAAGTAACAATCCCTACCAAAAATTAATTAAGAAATTAGGATTTAGGATTTAGGAGTAGGAACCGAAGTTAATCTAAAAGGAGGATTCGCTAAGCACCTGAAACTGCTGGAGGCTGGAGTTGGTTAGTCGGTCACGGATTGATCTGACGAGGTGACAAAGTCTGAAAATTAGAAAAGGAAGCTAGAAAGGCAATGACAGCGGTGTGAATCCTATCGCTCTGATGAGGCGAAGGCAACGACCGATGAGGTGGTCCTGTAGGGGCGCCGACGGGTGACGAGGCTGCTGTTGGCCTGTGGCGGTTTCCCGATACGATCCTGTTTCCATCGTTAGATCAAGCAGTTTCCCTTTTTTGATAAAAGACCGATCGAGTTTTTTGAGAAGAAAAAGATCGATCGAGTTGAGCGATGAGCGGACAAGCACCGTCGCTCAATGGCCCCGACTCAGGCCCAGCTCAACCCCCTATGGCCGAGGCAACTTCGAGAGCAACTAGTTAACGAGTACTCCTTCGGAAGCCTCGCAACGATAGGCGCGCCTTAGCGCGCTCTCAGCCATTTGTTACGTGTCGCGTCTTTAGACGTTTTCTTTGGATTTTTTTAACTTTTTCGCACGCGTTTTCGGCTTTTTAAACAGTTTTTCAGGTTTTTTCAACGTTTTGGTTTTTCATCGATCTTCATTAGCTTTTCAATCAAATTTTTTTTTGGGAAAAAAATTTTTGCGTGAAAAAACGCGTTTTTTTCCCTTTCATAGGAGTCACGGTTTTGCTTTCCCGAAAGTCACGGCCGTGCCTCTCGAAAACAAAAAAAAACGTGTTTTCTGTTTTTTCTCCTTTCGCAAGAGTCACGGTTTTGCTTCCGCGAGAGGCACGGGTGTGCTTTCGTGAGAGTCATGGTTTTGCTTTCCCGAGAAGCATAGTTGTGCTTTCGCGAGAGTCATGGTCGTGCCTCTCGGAAAGGAAAAAAACGTGTTTTCTGTTTTTTTCCTTTCGCAAGAGTCACGGTTTTGCTTCCGCAAGAGTCATGATTGTGCTTTCACGAGAGTCACGGTCGTGCCTCCTTGGAAACAAAAAAAAACACGTTTTCTCTTTTTTTTCTTCCGCGAGAGTCATGGTTTTGCTTCCGTGAGAGGCACGGTTGTGATTCCGTGAGAGGCACGGGCGTGCCTCTTTCGGAAAGGGAAAAAACCCGTGCTCCTGGTTTGGTTTTTTCGTCCGTTTTTTTGTGAAAAAAAAGTTCGTCAAAACCTATCAACATGGGATCTAGTTTTAAAGATCTCGACACAAGGAATCCAATGGTGAAAGCGATTCAATATTTGGACGCACGGTTTGAGAGATAAAACGTTTTGAATAAACAGATCTACGAAAAAAGAGAAAACTCCCAGGTTGCGACAAGTGGCGCGCTGCATGTGCGCCACTTGTCGCAACTAAGGAAATTGGAGTGATCTTTACAACGACTACTTCTTAATTAGTGATTTCGGACAACTCCTATACACTTTTTTGTTAGGAAAAACTGTGAGGTCCTATATGGCACACCACGCGCTGAGAACGCAGCGGGCCCATGTGCGGCCGGCACGCCGCCTATTTTTTTGTCTTTTTCTTTGCATTTTTATTTATTTTTCAACAATTCGGGATATCAAATTGCTTTTAGATTTCGGTAAAAGTTGCTAATTTTGAAAAAAAAACAATCATGATTTCGAAAAAAAATCATTATTTCAAAAATATGCTCGGAAATTCAAAAAATGGTCATGAAATTTTAAAAATGTTCACGAATTAAAAAAATGTTCATGATTTAAAAAAAAAATCATGCATTCGCGAAATGTTCATGAATTTGCAAAAAAAAATCACAAATTTAAAAAATGTTCACGAATTTTAGAAAATGTCCATGATCTCAAAAGGTTCATGCATTCGCGAAATGTTCACAAATTTGCAAAAAATGTTAATGATTACAAAAAATTGTCTAGAATTTAAGATAATGTTCATGGTTAAAAAATGTTCGTGAATTTGAAAGAATGTTCACGTATTTGTAAAAAGTGTTCATGATTCCAAAGGATTGAACTTTTTTTTGAATTTGATGAACATATTTTGAACATCGTTGAACAAATTAGGCATTTGGTGAACATTTTTTTTAATTTGAAGAACTAAATTTGTGTTAGAGAAATTTTTTGGAAAAAATTATGAACAAAATTTGCATTTGATGAACATTATTTTGAAAAAATGATGAACAAATTTTTAACTCAGTGAACAAATTTTAAATGTGATGAACATTTCTTGAATCTGATGAACAAAAAATTCAATCAAAAAAAAGAAACAGATGAACATTTTTTTAGTTTGGTGAACAACTTTTGAATTTTTATGAACATTTTTTAAGTCTGATGAACAAAAAGTTGAATTAGATGGACATTTTTTTGGACTGTTGAACATTTATTTGCATGGTTGAACATATTTTGAATTCGATGAACAAAAAAATTTGTTAACGAATTCGAAATAAAAAAATGCCAAAAATAGTCAAAAAGTGAAGAAGAAGAGAACAAAAAAAGGAAAGAAAAAAAACAGAAAAAGAAAAAACTAAAGAAAAATTGAATAGAACAGAAAACGGAAAAAACCAGTATAAAAAACATAAAAAATAGAAAAAACCCGGTTCTGGGAAGGTTCTAGAACCTTCCCAAAACCGGCAGAACAAATAGAAAGGGAAGCGAACTGGACCGGCCCGATAACGG